CATGCTTACTAGATTCAACGAAGGAGCGTCAAATTTGTTGTGGAATACAGTAACAGGTGACAAAATATGGATTTATAGTTACGATCCCAAAACAAAACAGCAATCGAGCGTATGGGTCTTTCGAGTTGAGTCGAAACCGACCAAAGTGGTGCGCGTGCAAAGTGCCTCTAAGCGGATGATTGCTTCTTTTTTTAATAAAACTGGACACGTGGCTACTGTTGCTTTGGAGAATCGTTGTACCGTGAATAGTGATTGGTACACGACCATTTGTATGTCGGAAGTTATTGACAAACTTCGTAAAAATACCCGTAAACGCCGTATCATCTGGCACCACGATAATGCCAGTTCTCACACGGCCAGACAGACAAACTAATTTTTGAAGGTGAACAACGTTGACCTTATGAGCAATCCCGCGTACAGTCCCGACCTGGCACCTTGTGACTCTTATTTATTTCCAAAAATTAAGAACCAGTTACGCGGTCAACGATTTTCATCACCTGAAGAGGCTGTCGAAGAATGTGAAAAATATTTTTCAGACATTGTCACGGAGGAGTGGCATAAATGTTTTCAAAATTGGTTCATTCGAATGAAAAAGTGCATTAACGCTAACGGATAATATTTTGAGAAACAATAAATTCATTTCTGACCATTTTATAGCATTTTTTTCTTATTCATTCCGGAAAATTTATAGTGCACCCCACGTAATAATATCTTCAGGACTTTGTTGGGGTTATCGCTCTTCCGTAGCGCGTCGGGAATGTTTGCCGAATCACGCTTTTTTTTATAATACTAAGCGACTGGACGAACAAGTCGTGTGCTTGGTGGAAAGCGACACGCCTGTCCCTAACAGTTGCAGCTCAGAGCTACAAAGATCTGACCCCTGATACCCTGAGACGTAAGTTCTAAGTAATCTCATGTGCCAGTAATTTAACCAACACCATTACCCTTCGAAACCGGAACGCAGTAATGTTCACATTGCTGCTTGGCGGCAGAAATAGATGATTGACACGCAGAGGTCCCAGGTTCGATTCCCGGGCCGGGAGAAATACTTGTATGGCCTACATTTATTTTCTCTCGTGAGTTTGGGTGTAATTTGTGGTTGTCTATGTGTGTGTCCATGGCACCCGCGACACAGGGTTTCCCTAGTGCGGGGCTATGTTGATTGTGAGCGTTATTATTATTATTATTATTATTATTATTATTATGTAGATGATTGCGGACAGAGGTGAGGGTCCACAAAAATTGGATAGAACTACTCAAGATGGTATATTCATATCCGGAACTAGCGGTTTCCGAATGGTTACAAATTCAAACAAACAGTGATTCATAGCGCATTATTGTAATACCTTTATGGATTCACGTATCACAACTAAATCAATAAATTTGGTTTGAATTTGAACTTTCTAATCCATTTTGGTGCTATAAATAAAGCAGTACAAATGTTATCAGTGCCATAAATCGTTATAAAAGATAATAAAAACATCGTGTTGAATATAAAGGTCTATTGTAAAACTGGTTTGATAATATTGTAAATAATAGTGAAAAATTTAAATATCAATGTCACGTGCATTCATTTAGGTGTTTTATAAAAAGAATATCGCACAATATCGTTGAAATCGAGGTCTTAAGTTTAAACATGAAACCATCTACTGTCGTAACTCAAAAATGATGGAATTAAGAAAATACGATTTGAAAGTTCAAAAACTTACTGAATGAACCAATAAATTTATATTCTCGTTTATAAGTGGATGACTAACTATAAATATGTATAAATAAAAATAATCCTATTATTTGCTATAAGATACATTCAGTACTTTTTTTATTTTCAAATTGTGTTTTATCATTTCCATAATTTTTGAGTTACGACAATATTTTGTTCCATGTGCGATTTTTTTTCAAACGAACCAACGTTTCGGGTTCTTTACAGGTCCCATGGTCAACATGCCACAGAGTCCAAAACTTTGGTTTGCTTGAAAAAAAAAACAAATATTTTTGGTATAGATTCGAAAAAATAGTTCCAATATCGTTTAAATTAACGTAACTGTGTTAATGACAAATTACGATACAGAAAGATGGCGAATGTGTGTTTTGTAGCTATCACACAATCTAAAAATATAAAAGACAAAATCCTCTTTGCTTTTTGCTGTAGAAACCCCGGGTCCCTGAATTTAAAGCCTCCGGTAAACAAACGTCGAAAACCCTGTACCTGCATAATCTGTACCTTCTATTAGGTACAAATTACATCGGTCATTCTCGGACTAGTGTTAGTTCACTACCTAATTCCGTAACAATTTTTTGTATTTGATTTTTATCGTGCAACATTATTTAATATTCAAGTATTGTATCGCGAAATATTATTTAATAATTACAAGATAATATACTTAATATACTATTACCCACCATGTCTGTAAAGCCCGAGGGTTTTATTTGGGGCATTATAGTCAAGTTAGCGTCCATGCAATCATACTACTTACGTGCAAGTGTATATTTCACGGGCGGTACAAGAAATTACGAACCTCGACTCCGCAAGCCCTCAGTCTTCCACTTCGGGTTTCTAATAGTCTCGTTCGTAATTCCTTTTTTATCGCCTTTAATACTCAATACAGTATAATTTCGCCCCGTGTCATAGTCCATAGTCCAGTCCATGTCCATAGCGGTTTTTATAAACAGAATACGAAATAGAGAAAAGAAAAGATAAGAGGTTGACTACAGCGGCATATACACACTCCCTGTATTTAATCAATTTAGTAAACAATTTAATGTTTCAATGTAACAATTCAATAAATTAAAATATATATATATATATTGCGAACACCTGTCATTCCAATATACATATTAATCCTTTGAAAAGGTTTTGCGAAACACGTGGCGATTTATGGAATCAACCAATCAATTCATTACATGTTTTATGTTAATTGATCGATTTAGTTTCGTCCTCTTGTTTAATTATTTATCAGGCTTTATGAGTGGAGACATTAAGCGATGAATAAAAGATAAGTTAATAGTCGAGTAGGTACTAAGTACAAAACATCATTACATTGTAACATAGAATAATGTTTGTTTTCATTGAAAAATGTTTATGGATATCATAGTTCTGTTCGGATCTGATGCCCGAATTCACTGAATATTAATTTTGATAACTACTATAGGTTGACCCCATAAGTTTGACCACACTCGCGAAGCAAGAGACGCAAGGATGAAGACAACGTGAATCGCGGGTGGCAGTTAGATAAAGATGTATGGAAAGCCGATATGGCTCTAGATTCCGCGCAAATTTGACTCAAAGTGTATTCCATATCATTTAAGTTTATTTGAAAAGAGCAAGATCCCTAGAGTTTCTTGCTCGTTCTTCTTCTTAGCTTAGTGAACGTGCAGTAGCTTAAAAGTGACGTTGTCAAGTGTAATTTATTTTATCTATGGAATAAATGATTCTTTGACTTTGACGTTGTCTGCGTTCCGATTTTGAAGGGTGCTGGTGAAATTACAGGCACATGAGTCTTGTCAACTTACGTCTCTGGGTGATGGGCGCAGTGACAGTATCCCTAAGGCTCTGCGTGGCACTGCAACTGTTATGAACAGACGTTTCGCTTAGTACCAGGCCCTACGGCTAGTTCGCCCCGTCACTTGGTGTTACAAAAAAAAAACACACTGTGCGTAACAATGAGCATAACTAACAAAAAGTCTCTGCACTTAACAAAAATCAACCTTACACCAATGAACTTCAGGTACAATTTTCATTGGTGTCTGAAAACAATTATCAAAAGCGCACCTTAAAGTCATTTCCTTGGGGTTGGTTTTTGACCAAAGTTTTTCAGTATTAACGTTCAGACAATTTTAATAATGACTATATTAGCACCAAGATTGTCCCTATCTACTGACTACGGCATCCCCGGTAAGACCAAGGTAAGGCGGGCCAAGCCCTCCGCCAGTGATACGCCTTCACGAGCATCTCTGGTGGACCGGGCTCTGGGTATGGACTCGCCGAGCCTTGTAGTAGCTGCATAGATGGACATGATCGTCTGCTCTACTACTCCGCGTCTTATAGCGGTTTAGACGAGAGCCTAAGGCGCGAAGACGCGCGGGACACGTGAGTTGCCCTTTAAGTTGGAACGTCCGCACATTGTCGTACGATACTGTGACCGACACCTCCAGTACTAGTCTGGCGAGCTAGTAGAGTATGAGCTAAATATTCTCTGGTCCGTCCAGCCGCGTAGGTGTCTGGGAACTGAACGCGTATCACTGACGGAAGACATGGCTTGGACGCCCGCCGTACCCTGGTCTTACCGGGGAGCTCGTAGTCTCCCCGGAACTCCCTATCTCTCGGTCAGTAAATAGGGACAAATTAATGCGCCGAACAGGCGGAAGTTGCCGTACTTCTCTTATTATATATATTATTGTAAAATCAGTAACTATCTGCTGAAAAGTTGTCATTTTTGCAAACGTAGCCTTATTATACCAAGTGCATGATATACAGCCACGGTATCCACTTCACTTACGCTTAAATAAATCTAACTGTAAACTAGAACTACATGATATACTGAAATAAAATGGCACTATAACTCTTTACGACTGTACCCAATAATAATTAAAACAAATTCCTATATAATCTTTAGTACCTCAAGTACTTAAGTTTTACAGTCCGAGGCCATAACTAGGTGACCCATAAATATTTTAGAAAGACCTCTGCATTCATAGTAAGTGCTAAGTGTTCAGGGATTAGACTATGCTGGTCACTTTATACCTTTATCTTAATGAGAACATGAGATGCAAGAATCGTAGTTGACGCCTAGTTTTATGGAATGCTTTACAAACGATGTTTTATTTAGATTGAACATACCAACATAAGACCTTAATGTAAATGTATGTTTTTGAAATGACAGCATGTGTTCTCTCCAGAAAAAAGCACAAATTAATTCAATTCTTTATGGTCACAACGAAAGAACATTTCAAAATGCAAGTCCAACGGTATCAATGGAGAGATAATGTAGACAAAAACTCACCTCCATTTAGTCCTTCTATTTTGAAACCATGTCTTGACTTGCGCGTCTGTCATTTTCAATGTTTTCGCGAGACTCGCTCGTTCTGCTGAAGCTAAGTACTTCTGCTTGTGAAATCTTTTTTCCAGCTCGGCAATTTGAAGTCTTGTGAATGAAGTACGGGGTTTCTTGCGCTTTGGTGGCGTTCTGTTTTGATATGGGTGCCCGATTCGCCTTGTGATGGGGAAGGAGGCTGGAAATATAATATTTCTTGCTTTATTTCTGTTACAGAGGTAATATATAATTAAATTTAAAAAATTAAGGCCCAAATTACTTCTCAAAGGAGCCATACGTCACGTAATATGGAATAGCATCGGACAAATCTAGTATTTGAGCTTGTATGATTTTTGTAACTTATATGATGATGATATGTGAGGAGGTATTAAATCCCATTGAATTTAAAAGTTTTTTAAGTTATATAATTTCATTGACTTGATTATTATGTGATAAAAATTGTATTTCCGTTCGTAATTACATGAATAACACTAAAAACGCGTTCGTTTCTATTCAAATTTAGCAACAAAACAATCACGCAATTACAAATAACAACTTACAGCTTCAAGAGCGTAATAGCATTAACATCTTATCTTTGTAATTGAAATCACGAACTTATCGTTCTGAATAATACAATGTTCGGCCATTACAAAAAAGTCATGAATAAATAAAAATCTCATTAAATTCATTCGTTAAATTGCTCGTACAATCACCACAAAGTACCAGCTATTACACTGAAACAGCAATCAAAGTTTCCGTCCATAATAAATCTAAAATTACATGTTGATGACCATTCGTGGAAACTCAGCTTAACAGATTGACCATATACAGAATCGACCGCAAGATATCTTGAATATCTTATGTATAATAGCCTCCTCATAAGCAACTTTTCAAAAAAAGGAAGCCGTAATAACCAATCGCTCCAAAGTAGCAGTTACACGTCTCTCTTTTCAAAATTACAAAGATGGCGGACCTATTACCATTTTAAAATTCGAAACTCAATAAATTACACTCGTTTATATGAGCTCCTCTGATTGGCCGACAGTTGGTAATACCCAGTGTTTTCTGTAATAGATCGATTTGCATTAAATGGCCCATGAGATGAGATCGTATTGCTAACTAGGATACAATGTTCAGTACCAATCAATGATATCCATTCGAAATCATAATCAAGATAATAATACTTAATAGCACATTTTCATAGTCATAAAAAAAACGTTTAGATTTCATTTAGATGTACTAGACCGCAACACGACAAAAAGATAATTATATTTGTGATTTAATAAATAAAGAATCTCTTTGTTCCCGACATTGTAGTAAGTTGAGCTATGTGCAACCCTGTTCCTGTTACCCTATTCTAAATTCAAATTGGTAACCTTTCGCTATTTTTTGTTTTCAAAAATGGAACCGTATTAAATAGCGTGCTCCGATTGGTCGGCCGACAAACGTAATGGCTGCTTCTCGTGACCGCAAATTGTGAGGCAATTGCGCGGTTGTACGTAACTTAAGCATGGTTTAAAAATTGTTACTGACTTTTGTTTGAGTTTAAAGGCAAGGTTGCGTTTTATTTTGTATTGTGACATGAAACGTTTACGTCCGTATTGTGAACAGCAATTTCATTTGTTTTGTTGAGCTCTACTTGTAATTTGCTATTAACTTGCATTGTGCAATAGTGACTATTTTCATTTCAAAATAATAGGCTATTTTTTGGCAGCAAATATTGCTTCACGCTTATTCTTTTTGGCTTCAACATGAAACGCTTTCTTGGCAGTGTTAATAACCAAGCCAAGACAGCCTGAGGGCTGGTTAAAAGGTTCAATGACTGATTGGAATGATTTATTTTCCATTCTCTGTGTAATTATTGATAAAATTTAAAAACAACAACAACAAAAGAAAATCTTTCTCCCTTAAATTTTTTCCTTTTCTTGACTAACTCATTTAACATCTTGAGTTGTAGCTTATGTCATTCTCGGTCTATCAAAGAGTTGCACCAGTATTTTCTTTTGTGGTAAGCGACACGCCAGTACATAACAGATGCAGTGCCAATCAGAGTTTTCAATTGCAAAGATCTGAAGGGCATGACTACTATGGCCGTAAACAAGTCTCATGTGCCTGTAATTAACCAGCACCTTAGCTCTCAAAACCGGAACACAGTAACGCTGACATTACTGATTGTCGTTTATAAATAAGGCTGACATTCGATGCTCATTAATGAATGTTTTACCTTTGAAAACTGAATCAGAACTTACAGCTTTCAATGAGTCAAAACTCCAATTTTCCAACGCTTCTTTGTGAACAATATTTTTTTTTTAAATACTTCACCCGTACAGATATATAACAAAGATTTGTTTCACATTCAGTCTCTACGAATTAAGTCTTCACAAACAATAAAAAGCCCAAGCAAATAAAACCGATTAGGCTTGCTCAAATATTTCACGTATATATTTTAGGTTACGTCGCACGGTATCTGCCAGAAAAGGGTGGCCTAACAAGATTCCGTGGGTCGTAATTGAGTTAACCCGTATGATTCATGCGCACTGGGCTGTAGTAACAGAAACCACGTCATATTCACAGTGGTGCCTACAGTGCAGATGGAGAAAAAATATTAAATCGGTTTTTAAGCCATGTTCAAGTAAAATTTTGCTAGACTGGTTTTACACTGAGGCTCTTGAGAATTACGAGATATTAACCGTGAGAAATCTTTAGACATCGCAGTTTTTGGTATAAACTAAAAAACTCTTGCAAAAATCGTAAATAAAGAAAAGAAGGTCGTAAAATTATTAAAACTCATTCACTCTAATTTCAAGCGAAAAATTTAATTATATCAAAGATAAACATGAAGAAAAATTAACAAACAAATTAACATTGAAGGGTTTAAGCGCTTCTGAGGGTAATCCGTTTATGATATTATCCCTTTGGGCAACCCTTCTCGACACCGGTTTGGGTTTGGCCACTCAAAGTGATTCTGCTTTATTTATGACAGTTTACTCGTCCCCTTTGAATCGGGTATTTTTGTGTTTTTATTGCCTTTTAAGTGTATTGTTTTGTAATAGAGAAACAAAGGGTGGCAAAACATAACTTTCCTTGTGACTTAGTAAACGAGCACGGCATTTTGCATGAATTCACATTCCACCAGTCTAGTGTCCACTTTTATTACATATCATAAACTTCTATACATATATGAAGAATACAGACATGATAATCAAGGTATAACATTGAAAAGATTTCCCAATCCAAGAGCAATTTGAAAAGAAAAACGACATGACTTGTTTATGCTATTTTTCACCGTCAAAAAGTCGTCACGTTTCAAAATGGAGCACACGTTCCTCCCCGTTTAAACGATACAAATTCTCACTCATATTTCGTGGATTCCTCCCTTTCGAGAGAGGGGCGGCGACGAGGGGGACGAGGCGTGTAAGAAGACGAATGCTTGACGTCTAATTGGGCTCAGACGTCACCTGGGATTACGGGCAGGCGTTCCATCACTCGTATAGTCGTATTTGTCCGCGCCTGTTGAGTTTTCGCACATTGTGTGCTATATAATTTAAGTTGTGAAGAAATGTAAGCATCTCAACATTTTATTGACGCAATTTTTGGAAAAATATACTTTTTTTAGAATTATGACACATTCGCTGGTAATTCGCTACTCTATTGTCGCTAATTTTGCCTTTCGCCACCAGCAATACAAAACACAAATAATATGTAGTCGTACAGGTACACCAATTTTGTACCAAAACAAGTTGTAAACATAAAAATTACACTTAAAAATCAATACAGAACAACACAGACAACATTTTTCAATTACGCCGCACAGTGGGGCCGCAGGAAAAAATAAATGGACGAAATCTCATGCATATTGCACGCAACAAGCGATACCAATTCCCACTAGTTACGCTACCAAACGTACGAGAGTCGGGAATACGGCAAACTCATGGAAAATTCAGCGGTTGAAAGCGGAATGCAATCGGGATACAGGTTTAGGTTGCATTTTGAAACAACATTGCACTCGTTTCGGCGAACAAAAGCATGGCTACAGCCTTTATGATGTTGCGCTTTTACTGTCTTTGTTGCTGTCGTTCGTGCAGAATGCTTCACACGTATATTGTGTAACATGTCTATCTGTGTAGTGTTTTGTTCGATGTTTTATTCGTTTGCAACGCTGTCAAGCGAGCGCATTGTTACGTTTGCTCTCGCAAGTGTGGTTTTAGTTACACAAATGTTACAAAAAATATCAAAAGTCGCAATTAATTGTTTCATAAATACATAAATTGTTCTTTGTTTTATAAAAAAATATCAAAACAATTTAAACAGAATGTTTCGTATTAAAATCTTCTAAACTAAACTTCCACGCAATGAAAATTCCATCAGAACCGTCAGTTAATTATATCCGTGAGACATTCACATGATACAGTGGGCGGGTTATTATCCGCACGCTCCCTCATTTTGCTCATTAAAATTTTGTCCCGCCGCTGTCATCGTTCAGCTCACTGTGGGGTTACGTAAAATAGCCTAATTGTGGATAATCTCTCTTGTTATACGGGAAATTAGAGTCGAATAGTTTTCGGATGAAATACGCATTCATTTTTGGTTTGTCCGGAGATTTGAGGCAATTTCCGGTCGTGTTATTTTAATTTGTTTTGTAGTAAAACAAATTGCCATTATTGGATTTTATTTGTACGTCGATTGCGGGATTTGTGGAATAGCGAGATTGTTAGATACGTCCATGACGAATATTATATTAATATAATTTTATTTAATATTGTACAGTCTTATCTTAAGCGCGGTACAGTTGAATTTAAATTGTAAGTGTCAAGTTTGACGTGCTCTTTTCTCTAAAACTATAGATATTAAATTCATCAGTTGAACGTGAACTAATAATGTGATATCTAATTGTAATCAAACACGACGTTTATATGAAAGAAAATACTGAAGTAATAAATTAAATATACTGCATTGCACATAAAAAAAGAACGAACAATACAAAGGAAAATTCCTTGGATCTGATTGGACACGAAACAGTGTCTTTTTAAATGTTCGTTCTCAGTCACATCGAATATATTTTTTCTTAACAAAGTAGAGGAGTATTTTCTTAAAAAAATATATGAATATCATGGTAGTAAATCATGATATTATAAATAAATACTATAGAAGAGTATTCATAAGCAATATTAGTATCACAGAATAGCTAATGTACAACAT